AAGAAGACGACGCCGCCTGCCACGGGCAACGTGGCTAAGAAGACGCCGCTCCCCACGGGCAAGAAGACGGGCGGCGCGGCTGGGAAGGACAAGCAGCGCAAGTGGGCGAAGCCGAGGTGGGAGATGCAGACCACACGCAACTTGGCGAGCGGGGTTGAACCTCCCACCGATGAGGCGTCGGGCGCGCGCGGCGATTCCCAGCAGCCCCGCTGGGGTCGCAGTTTGCGCGCCCGCCGCCTTTCTGGCGACTGTTCATCGTTGCTCCGCCCCCCAGGTGCAGTTCCGCAGCGGCAGGGTCGGCGCCCCTGGCAGCAACGTCAGCCTGAAGTACATCGCGGGCGATGAGGCCGTCAAGGCCAGATTCTCACCGACGCCCTTCTCGACGCCCTCCTCCGCGCTCTCTTCATTTTCGCCCCTGCCTCGACGCCCCCTCCGCCCCCTGCTGCCTCGTTGCGCCCGATCGCTCCGAGGCCAGGGCCATCGCGGAGGCGGAGGAGCTGGTCAAGAAGGAGCTCGCCGCCAGGGCGCGCGGCGAGTAATTCGCGCTACGACTCTTCAACTCTCCAGGCCTACGGGGCGGCCTCGGGATAACAAAAAGGTCGTGGCGGATATGCCGCCTCGTGGCGGATATGCCGCCTTGTAGCGCAGCCTTCTCGCCTTCCAACTCGTGGCGGACATGCCGCCCCCGCCCCACCCCTTTGCGCTCCTCCGCCCTTCAGGCGGACATGCCGCCGCCCCCCTCCCCTACTCGGCCCACTCCGCGCCCCCGCGCCACGTCCCTGCGCCCCACTCTCCGCTGTCAGGCACTGGATCCCACGCCAACTAACGTCGGGGAGACGCCCACTGCTCGAACGGCGAAGGCGTTCACCCAGAATGGCATGGGCGCGCGCGAAGGCACCGACGTTGCCACCGCCCGTTCAACGACGAAAACAAGTGAACCAAGGCCTGCACATTCAAAGGGACACCAGTTCACTTATATTTCTGGTTCCCAATGCCACCCTCACTCTGCCCCCTCCCCCGAGACCCCGTCGCAAGAACCAGCGGGGCCCTTCTGAGAGGCCCCCGAGGGCTCGAGGAGCTCCAAGACTTCTATGGGTCCATGGGCAACCCCCTCCCCCTCCTCCCGAAGTCTCGCTTCCGCGTCCGATTCCATTTCGGTTCAAGCCCGCGGCCCGCGGGTGCCCGCGAGCCCGCGCGGGGTTGGCCCCCCCCTTTCGCGCCGACGCGTGGGCTGGGGCCCGCGCGCCGAGGCTGCGCCGCAGCCACCGCGTCGCGCTCGGCGCCTCGCACGGCGGCCGCGGCCATGGCAGACAGCGGCAGCGCGTTCGACGCGTTGGAGGCAGCTGCATCGCCAAAACATGTGGCCCCGCGTGCGGTAGCCAGGGACGCGCGCATCGCGCGCGAAACTGGCTGGCCGCTCTCGGTCGAACTGTTTTGGCGATTCGGCGCAGGAGATGTTCGGGCCAGCGATGCAGTTGCTCTCCGACCTTGCGTGCGTGGACAACAACGCAGGGGATCGGTCTTCCTCCGCCAGCGGCAGTCGGCCAGCCAGCGCGCCCACGTTGGCGGCGCAGCCAGCGCGATCACGCAGCCCGCGCCACCCGCGGGCACCGTCGACGCCGCCGCGCAGGCGGGGGCCGACGTCACCGCCGCGGGACCCGCGGCAGCGGCCTTTCCCGCCCTCGGCTCTCGTGAAGGAGCTCGCGTCGCACATGCGGGGCGCGACGCCTGTGGTGGAAGAGCCCCCCGAGGCGGTGGAGGCGCATCCAGCGCGGTGGAGGCGTTCAGGGCGCAGCTGCGAGCCTGGCTGAGCGACCCCGTTGGGAATCCCATCGACTGGCGGTCGGAGACCGTGCTCGCCGTGCTCAAGGAGTACCAGATGAAGTACGACTACAAGAAGTTCCGCGACCGCGGCCCGCCTGGCCCCGCCATGGGCGGGCCGCAGACGTGGCAGGGCCAGGCGTGGCGCGCCAATGCGAAGCGCTGGGGGAACCGAGGTGGCGCAAAGCGCGAGATGTACGCGAAGCTGCACGGCAACAAGGCAGCGCCGCGGGTGCGCGAGGCGCACGTCCCCAAGCCTCAGCTGATGCATCGGGAGCCCATGGCGCCGAACTTGCCCAAGACGATGCCTCAGCAGGCGCCGTGGAGGACTGGCAATATGAACCCTCCAGCTCCGCCTCCGCCGCCGAAGACCATGGGGCCGCCGCCGCCGAAGACCAGGCAGCCGCCAGCAGGGAAGCCCAGCATGGTGCAGCCGAGGGCAGGGCGTCGGCTGCAGCCGACAAGCAAGATGGCACCACCGCCAGCGAAGCCGCGCCCGCCCGCCCGCCGAGATGTCTTCTTGTAGGGTGATCGCGTGGACCTGCAAGCGGGCTGGGGTGCATAGCTTCCGTAATTCGAGCGCGGATAGTTGCAGCTATCCGCGCTGACGCGTCATGACGCGCCGCCTCTCCCCGCCTCGTCTCATCTCATCTCTCCTCCCCTCTCTTCGTTGCCGATCTATCTCATTGGCGGACGCGCCGCCTCCCCCCGCCTGGCGGACAACCGCCGTTCAGATACGAGCATCGGCGCATCGGGTTTGTTCTATGCGGTTGGAAAAAAAACACCAGTCCTTCCCTGAGCCACCCATTGGCGGCTAAACCGCCCTGAAGCCTCCATTGGCGGCCACGCCGCCCATTGGCGGCTAAACCGCCCATTGGCGGCCACGCCGCCCTGAGCCCTCCATTGGCGGCTAAACCGCCGCCGCCGCCTGCTGGCATCCCGAAATGTGCGATGCCACCGCGCCTCTTACACATGTATGTTTTTGTTGTTGGGACGCTGTATCGGCTCGAATCTAGGCGCGCACAGGCTCGCGCCCCACGCCGCCCCTGCGCTAGCCGTGCACTTCTCGCCCTGCCGCCATGGCAGGCCAGCAGGGCGAGAAGACCGTCATGTTCGGCTTCAAGTGCCCACAGAGCAGCAGCTGCAAAAGGGGCGGCAAGTGGTTCCAGGGAGAGACAGTGGAGGCGGCCAGGAACAAGCTGGTGAACCACCTTCGCGTGTCGCCGTACCACGACTTGAGCGAGGACGAAGCGGAGGTAGCTGCTGTCGCACTCGAGCCCGACTCGTGGGAAGTCGACCTCGCGGAGTGGCGCCAATGGGAGGAGGAGAAGGCCAACTGGGGCTCCGCCAAAAGGCGCAAGGGGGCGCCGAAGGTCGAGCTGGCGCCAATCCCTCCACAATCCCGCGTGGAGCGCTCGCACCAGCTGAAGGACGCGTTCTCGGAGGGCAGCGGATCGTCAGGCGCAGCTTCGTCAGCCACGGCGGGCATGAGGATGTCCACGGCGTTGGCCAGCCAGATGTCGCCCGATAGCATCGTGGTGCTCAACGGCACCCAGTGCCAGGCTGTGCTCGACTCGTTGCGCCGCGCGCGTACTGCGACGCAGATGTGCGCCCAGATAGCGGAGCGCGCGGTGAACGCTTTCCGCCAAGAGGAGCAATGCATCGCCGAGTGCGAGGACGTGCTCGCGAGCTGGCTGGTGCGCAACGCGACCTCGTAGGTGCAGGTGCACGGCTGGCAGCACTGATGTCGCCTCAGCATCAGTAGCCTCATTCGCGCAGGCGGCGCGACGCGTCGGCCCTACACGCCCCCCTCCCACTCCTCCAACGCAATTTCAATCCACACCCCTGTGTCAGAACAAATTAGGACACCCCCACACACACTCCATCCGCACTCAATTCGTGAAGGCCGCCACGCCGAGGTGAATTTTGGCCACGCAGGCGGCCGAGTAGCCGTCCCCCAATGCAAGGCGATATGGGGGCGAGTGGACGAGCGGAGCGGGAGGAAGGTGAGGGAACTTCGGCGGATAAGACAGGTGGGCGGTTGGATGGGATTTGGCAAAAGGGCTGGGTGGAGAAAGCTGCATCCGCATAAGAATGAGTGCGGCTATTTTCTGGATGTGCTGCATCGCCATGTCCGCCCACCCCCCATCGCCTTGCATATGATGACGCTCAGGCAGCGCGCCCCGATTGCGCGCGCTCGCCCGTCTCTTCGCTGCCGCTCAGGCAGCGCGCCTCGCTTCCGCGCTCGCCCGTCTTTTCGCTGCCGCTCAGGCAGCGGTTTGAAGCACGCGGCGCCGTCCGCGGTCGGTAGCGCAGGGCGCCGCTCCGCCCCTGCTGCTCCGCTTAACTAACTCGGCGGACGTGCCGCTACGCCGCCGCCATTGCACTGGCAAAAAAACGTTGGCTGTTATCATATGTTAGCATATGTTATCACGCGCCTGATAACACCTGATAACACCTGATAACACCTGATAACATGTTATCAGGTGTTATCATGTGTTAGCATGGTGTTATCACACGCCTGATAACATATGATAACATATGATAACATGATGTCAATTTTGTGTGGTTGTCATGTTGCGCGCAATTCATTTCAGTATCCGTATCACCTCGTGCGTCCGCCACGCTTCGAGCGGCTAGTCCGCTGGCGGCCAATCCGCCTCCCTCGCCGCGCCCCTGCACCCTCTCAAGCGGCGAGTCCGCTGGCGGATATGCCGCCCCCTTCATACCTCACTCCACCCCTCCCTCCACCTTTGAAGCGGCTATTCCGCTGGCGGCTATCCCGCCTCACTTACCGCGCGTTTTCTTCGTCATCGCTTCGCGTCCAGCTCATCTTGGCATCAGGGCCGCGCGCGACGCGCGGCTTCTCGCGTGCCAAGGCGGTCACGCCGCCATGGCGGGGACGCCGCCCGCTGAAGATCACCAGCAGCATTCTCTGGCAGTGATGTTCGGAGCAGCCAGGCCGAAAAACAAGGGAGTGTTGACCAAGGCGCCCGCAGCGAAGCCCCGTGGGAAAGCTAAGCTATCGGGGACGCAGATGACACTGACTGGACAGCTTGTGCCGCCGCTCGCATTGACCGACGCAGGGCCGCCGAAGGCACGCGGGAAAAGCAAAGGCAAGGGCAAAGGTAAGCACCCCGCAGCGTTGAGGACGGCTCGCAAAGCTGCGTCAGCCGCAGCTCCCGCCGAAGAACTGCCTCCTCAGGGCGCAGCGGCTTTGCCACCAGAGCCGGACGACGCAGCGTCAGAGGCGGCATCGGGCTCCGAGGAGCGCGGCGACGAGATTGGTTCCGAGCTCGGCGTCAAACAGGATGAGCTTGAGAGTGCCAAGCGTGAGCTTGAGGAGGAAGAGGCTCCACCGCAGGGCGCGGTAGCCAAGGTTGAGAATGAGGAGCGCTCGCCCGAGGCGGCAGCGCCGCAGGCGGAGGAGGAGGAGGCAGCTCAGGACGATCCGCCAGCAGGCGCTCCCCAGGTAGGGGAGTTCGTGGATGTGCATGGCATCGAGGATAGCATCGTGCGTTGCAACCGCTGCTGTCGCACGGCAAAGGAGTGCAACTACAGGATCAGGGCGAAGGGCCAGTCGACTTACCAGTGCGACGCGTGCAACACGAACGGGGTGCGCCTTTCTCGGAGGTTCGGACAGTGGCCGCCAAAGTGTTTCGCCAAAATGAAGAGTGAGTTCAAGCAGCAGTTCTACAAGGATCTGGCAGAAGATCCTGGGCTGTCGAACCTCGATCGCATTGAAGCCTTCGTGGTCAGCTCAATCACTGTCCAACGGATGGAGGAGGAGCGCGTCCGCAGGGTGGCAAGTACCTTCCGCTGAGGAAGTGGGCGCACGACGGCTTCGACGCGAAAAAGATTGAAGATAATGTGCAGGATAAGAGGTGGAACCCTGATCTCGGGGAGTGGACGTACAGGCCGCAATTGGAGGCGGCCTGGAGCGAGACAGTGGAGGCCGCAGTGCGCAACGAGCTGTACACCGATAAGAGGACGCAGGCGAAGCAGAGCGGCCCGCGGGCAGCGGCCTCGACGGGCGTCGCAGAGCACGGCGGCGACAAGGGCGACAGAAGCGACGAGAGCGACATGTCCAGATCCAGGCGGCGCCGCAGGCGCAGGTCTGACAGCCGCAGGAGGAGGAGGCGCAGCATGAGCAGGCGCGACAGCAGGGGCAGGCGCGACAGCAGGAGCAGACGCCGCGACAGACGTCGCGACACCAACCGCAGCAGGAGCCGCTCGCGCGGCGACCGCGACAGGAGCAAGAGCCGCCGCAAGGGCAGGAGCAAGAGCCGCGGCAAGAGCAAGGACAGGAGCAAGAGCAGGCCGTTTGGGGGTTCAACGCAGGGGTGTCGCCTGGGCTTCGCATTCGTTTTCGGTTTCCGTTCAACTCTTCAGGTTCGGATCGGGTTATTGATTTCGCTCGGCTCGAAGTGTTGTCATTTTCGGACAACCCCGAAGGCTCCGCAGGGATAAGGACGCTGAGAAGGAGCGGAGGCGACAGGAAGCGAGGGAGAAGGCCGAGCAGGCCAAGAAGGAGACGCAGGAGAAGAACCTGGCGCTGAAGTGGATCGGCACCGCAACGAGGCTCGAGACAGAGCTGGACGGGTACCTCGAGCATGAGAAGGCGGACAAGGTGCCGTCATGGGCTGTGAAGAACGCGAAGGCGGCGAGGAAGTCTGTGGCAGTCATGAAGGCGGTGGCGCAGAAGCGCGTGCACAGCGGCGTGGCGTTGACGATCACGCAGGACGAGGCCATCAGCATCCAGATGGATGCGAGCTCGGCGGCGAGGGCCATCGCGGGGATGCTCAAGGAGGCGCAGAAGCACAGCACCTGAGCGCCCCATGGTGGCCCAGTACATCATGAAGTACGGCCTGAAAAAGGTGGAGAAGGACCCGAATAAGCCGCGGCCGCTGGGCCGCTCGTGAGCAGGGGCGGCAGTTGGGCCGCTCCTGACGAGGTGTGTGATTTCGTATATACAATTGTTATTGTTGGTGAAACAACATTTCCACCGCCACCCCACTCGTTACCACCGCAGCCCTTCGTTTGGCGGGGATGCCGCCTTTCCACTCTCGCAAGCCCTTGGCGGACATGCCGCCTTGCCTTCATTTGGCGGAGATGCCGCCTTTGCTGCTCATCGCGCTCCGATGCCTCACTTGGCGAGGCGAAGCGCTTGCATAACTCCCTCCTGCTCGAGCGCGTCCTGCCCGAGACCCTACCGCGCGAGCTGTGGCTCGCGAAGGCCAGCGACACCGTTGGGAATCCCATCGATTGGCGGTCGGAGACGAAGCAGAGGCGAAGCAGCTCCTTGGCAGGGGCGGCAGTTGGGCCGCTCATGACGAGGTGTGTGATTTCGTACAATTGTTATTGTTGTTGAAAAAACATTTCTTCGTTGCCATCGCCACCCCACTCGTTACCACCGCAGCCCTTCGTTTGGCGGGGATGCCGCCTTTCCACTCTCGCAAGCCCTTGGCGGACATGCCGCCTTGCCTTCATTTGGCGGAGATGCCGCCTTTGCTGCCCACCGCGCTCGCACCGTTCTCTCGCGTTTCCCAATGACATGATCTGCCACCGTCCCACCCCTCATCCGTAGTCTTTGTGGCTCAAGTGGAGCCGCTCGAGGTCGTGCCCCTTCGCGGTCTTGCGCCGCCATGGCGAGCATCGCGGACAAGTACGACGTCGATGACTTCGAGCTCATCACGGGTGGCAGTGCGTGGAGCTGGGCGACCATCGTGGTGCGCTTCATCGAGTGGCGCAATCGTTGCCGCCATGCACGCGCCGTTGGCATCAAGGGCCAGATGCTCATCGACAAGGCGCGGCGCATGATGGAGGAGGCGCGCCGCACCGAGGAGCGCGGCAAGATGCTGTGCCAGATGTCGAAGCAGACGGTGCAGGACATCCCAGGCGGCATTCGGTTCTTCTGCCGCCAGCCGCACCAGGAGAGCTGAGCGGCGATCGGCTGGGCCGATAGAGGAGGATAAGGAGGAAGAGGAGGCAGGATGAGGAGAGGAGGAGGAGGTGGATGAGGAGTTGGAGGCAGCACGCGCACCCGCACTAAGAGCCGCCAGCCGCCGCCGCGCCCGTCCCGCGCTGCGCCCGTCCCGAGCTCGAGCCGCCAGCCGCGCCCGTCTCCGAGCGCTGGCGGCTTGGAACCCGAGCTTGAAACTCAAGCTCGAAATTGCGTGCGAGAAAAAGAAATCTCCCTTGCAAGTTCCGTTGCTACGCTCACTTCGCGCCTCCGCAATCTCCCCCACCCGCCCCCTTCCCCCCTCCCCCCTCCCCCCATGCCCCCTCGCCCCCACGCTCTTCGGCGGCTACGCCGCCCCTCCCGACCCTTCAGGCGGCTACACCGCCATGCCCTTCGGCGGCTACTCCGCCCCGCGATCCATTCCCGCCTCCACTTCCGTCTCTCTGGCTGCAATTCGTTTTTCTCAACCGCGCTGGGCCTCGCGCTGCCCCCCGCCCCCGCCCCCCCCGCGCGCGGGCGTCGGCGCAATGGGGAAACGCGCCCTGCAGGTGGACAAGCAGGTGGAGCAGCGGGCTCGACTGCAACAGTGTCTGGCCCTGCGCGGCGTGTCCGCGGCTTTGCTCGAGCGAATCGTGACTGCGCTTGGCCATGGCGACGACGCGGGCGATGCTATAGACGTGAGCGCTCGGGCCATGCAGCGATCGCAGACGGCATCCGTGGCCGATCTCATCAGCGCAGTGCGGCTGCAGCCCAAGATCGGCACGCCTTTCCGATGGAGCGTGGCGCTGCCGCATCGGCTGATGCCGAGGCTCCTGTCGGACTGCCCTCTCTGGAGTTCAATGTTTTGGGAAGCGATGCGCCGTTTCCCTGTGTCGCGCGATCGGCCGTGGAGGCTTTTGCTGTACTACGACGACATTGGCGTGGGCAACGCCTTGAAGATAGATAATCGTCGGAATCAGCTCGCGGTGTATGCGAGTTTCCTCGAGTTCGGATCCTTCTTGCAGAAGGAGGTTGCGTGGCTGCCGATCGGCACCTTGCGCGTCGTCGTGAAGAAGAGCATCGGCGGCTCGGCCGTGGCGCGGGCATTGCTTCGCGCGCTGTTCCTGGGCCCAGAGAGTCTGTCGGAGCACGGTGCGCCAATCGGCGGCGTGCACTTTTTCGCCAAGTTCCACCGCTTGATTGCAGACGAGGCGGCTGGAAAAGAGACATTCTGCACCAAGGGCGCTGCAGGTCTGAGACCGTGCTTGCAATGCAAGAACGTTGTGCTGGATCAGGCGGAATGTCTTGCAGACTACGACGACGATGATTACCTCGTGCCTCTCTGGTGCGCTGACTCGTCGCGCTTTGACCCGCTGTCGTCAGACGAGTTTTTGCAGCAATATGATGATTTGGCGTCGCTGCGGGACACGACAACCAGAGCGAACATCGAGAGACTGGAGCCAGGGAGGAAAACATTTCCATCGATCCCCTTCTGATGTCCCCCCCTTCCTTCCCTTCTGATGTTCCGGCCCCCGAAGGAGACGGCAATGGGCATCACTCTGGATGACCGTTCTCTGGTGGCGTGCCAGGCGTTGCGGACGGTGGCGCCGCCGAGCACATACGTGAGGGACCCCATGCATACCATGCTGGCCAGCGGCGGGACCTTGCAGGTCGAAATCTTTGCGCTCCTCAAGGCGGTGAGGGATGTCATCCCCGACGCGTGGGGAACGTGGCGGGATCGCTGCTCGGCGTGGCGGACTGGCAGACGCGGCAGGAAACCGCCAGCGTTTCTGTTCAGCGTGGCTCGGAAGAAAGCGACCTGCAAGGCGTCGCACTTCGTGGGCAAGGCGTCGGATTGCTTGGCCGTGTTCCCTTTGATTCGTCATTGGGTGCACACAGAGCTGCGTCCCAGCGGCATGGCGAACGCTGCGGCGCGGTCGTTCGAGGCGATGGCGAAGATGCTCGAATTGTACATGCAGGGCAAAAGGACATGCGGCCGCAGCTGAAACGCAAACGCTGGCCTGCGCGTTCGAGGATGCACCGCGTCGGCCCGCGCGCATCCTCGAGCGCTTAGGTGGCAGGCGGTTCGGCTACGTCCTGAGGATCGGCGCCGTGCCGAATTTGATAGCTGTCTGGACCAAGGCCGTTTCGATTTCCTTGGCGCTGCACAAAGCCGCGCACGGGCCAGCCCTGATCAAGCCGAAGCATCATTATTTGTGGCACGTCCCCGACCAGCCTGCGGAGGACGGCATCTGGTTGGACGCCTTCGTACTCGAGCGGAAGCACAACCTGCTTCGGTCCAGGTCGCAGGAGATCGACAACCCTGAGAATTTCGAGCGGTCGGCCTTGACGGCGATGCTCGCCTGCTTCCTGGAGGAAGCGAAGGAGGCGCCGCGCTCCCGCGCCAAAGCGTGGCGCACGCCAGAGCTGGACAGTACGTTCGGGCACTCGGGGCGCAACCTTGCATGCCCTTTGTGGAGGAAGATGGGCTGGGAGAGGGGAAGGCGGTTTGCCGCCGAGGCGGCTCGCCGCCAGGAGGAGGAGGAGGAGGAGGAGGAGGAGGAGGAGGAGGAACCCCTCCGCAGGGCTGAAACGTGGACCAGCAGAGAGGCGTCGATCGACGGCCAGATGCACGGCAGCCAGGACAGACGGCGCAACCAACCTTGGTATTTAGGGGTGCACATGCGTGTGCCCCCCCAAAAATCGAGGCGTTGCTGCCCTCAGGATTTTCTCCTGGGCGACGGCGAGGCGTACATCGTGCGTTGCTGCGCGCAGGCTGGCGCCGCCAGCTACCTGCTGGTGGAGACCCTGGAATGGGTGCGCGCGCCATGCCCAGGCGCGTCCCTGTGGCGGCCGCGCGGCGACGCCGCCGTGATGCCCGCCGAGCTGATCCCGCCAGCCTGGGCGGCTTATCGGCGACTACAGGACGATGGCTATGTGTTCGCCATCACGTGAAAAGGAAAAAAAACGAGCGCATTCGAGAGCGGATATGCCGCTGGCGGATGCGCCGCCCTTCGATAGAGAGGTGCAGGGGGGAGGGGCGGATCTGCCGCCGAAGAAGGAAGGCGGGCTCGGGGAGGGAAGGCGGCAGGAGGGAGCGGGGGCGGGCTGGCCGCCGACAACGAGGAGAGGAGAGGGGGGGCGGTGATGGCCGCCGAGGGGAGGCAGTTTGAAGAATAGTTGATCCCCCCCCCTCTCCCTCTCCCCCCTTCCCCTCCGCGCCCCGCAGGCGTCCTGAGGGCGGCTCGGCGCGTCGACCTGCGGCGCCTTGTCCTGAAAAACTGCCGCGCTGTAGTTGTTAAAGCGTTTTTTTGTTGTTTTTTCCCCGGAACATAGCAATATCAAGAACAAACATGAAACACATAGAAAGTTATGCAAATTTCGGGTTAACCGAATCGGACAGCCCACATCGACTTAGCTGACTTAGCTACTAAGTTGGATATGTTGAGGTGTATGTATCGATATATCTTGGCAGTGGTACCCGATAGCTCAGTTAATAAGATGGATGGTTCTGTGAGTAGTATGTATGGTATGTTGTTGAATGTACTTATCTAACAAAACGTTAAATAGATGAATGCAGAGTTCGATATTTTATATATGTTGAATATGTGAGGTCAACTAGCATGAACCTACATACATCTTCGTTGAAGCGATTTCACCGGATATACAACGCTCTTACCGCACTTACACCCTCCCGACGGTCAAAGTGTGCTGGGTGCGCCGGGTGCCCCGGGTGCGCTGGGAGCGCCGGACGTCGCGGGTGCTCCATGTGTGCCAGGTGCGCCGGGTGCCCCGGGCGCGCTCGGCGCCGGGTGCCCGGCCGCCGGGCGTGCCGGGTGTGCCGGGTGCGCTCGGCGCCGGGTGCGCCGGGTAATCCGGGTGCACTCGGC